CAATCAGAAGTCCAAACCATGAAGTTCCCTTAAAGTATTCAGCCATAGTCTTTCACCTAGACACCCTAGTCAAATAGAAAGTTCTACCAATCCCAAAGGATCTAATACATTACCTTCTAGGTAAATAAATATTTCAGACCTTATCAGCATTCTCCTTCCATGTGAAGTAGGATATATTCCTGCCTGTGTTGTGTCTCAACCCAAAAAGAGGAGGGCATGTACATGGTCTGGGTGTCTGAAGGACCTTGTCTTTCTACCTCAAAGGTACTTAGCCCTTCCATTTGTCACGGCAGCTCATTGTCACTACAGCTGATAGGATGAAAAGCCTGCCAGGCAATGTTCCCTCAAATTTTTTTCCACACATGGTTGGAAAAATGAGTTATGTGCACATAGGCATGTGCTGATTTGCACCACCAATAGAAAAACATGCTGCTGGCTATGGGAGGTGGTGGGTGCTTTGCTGATGAGCTGGTCAGCATTTGAATTTCCCCTGGGTGGCCGCCCAAGTGCTCAGTTTATAGGAAGCATAGCAACAACTTTTCAACAGAACTACCTAGTGCATACAGAGCATTATACGCTTGCACAGGTCCCTCCACCACATATCATTGGGCCCATTCAACCACAGGTAAGGTGTTGGTGGTGGTTTTCTTGGTGCATGAGCCAATCCAGGATATCCGTAGAGCTGCAACATAGTCCTTGGTCCATACATTTATGTCTTGGTATGCCATCACCCAGCAAGCCAGGGATGTCTCTGAGTTTTGTAGAGCAGTGCTGCCATCAAAGTGGCTGTGAACTCATATCCACCTCCTTGGGTACTGAGTGGGTACCTAATGTAGAAGGGACATAACAAGCACGCAACAAAGAAAAGACAGTTACCTGTTTCATAACTGGTATTCTTTGAGATGTGTTGTTGCTCATGTCCATTCCATGACCCATTCTCCTTCCCCACTGTTAGTTTTGCATCAAGAAGGAATTGAGGGTGGAGGGGGGGGACCATGTGCCACTCCTCATATGGCGCTATGAAGGTGCCATTTCAGGGATCACCAGAACCACTCTTCTTCATCTGAAGAAGTGGATTGTGCCCATGGAAGCTAACGATACCATCAGCACTTTGTTAGTCTCTAAGGTGCTGCAGGCCTATTTGCTGTTAAAGTTTTCTCACTGTTCTACAGATAGTGCTCAGAGAAATTTCTGGCACCAGTGCATGTGATGACCACTGTGGAAGAAAACAACTTTGACATGAGCACCACATCTCAAAGAACATGGGAGAATGGATCTCTTTTAAAATGTACATTTTTGGGGAGAAATTCTGTGGGTTTTGGCTTGTAAATTTTATGAACACCTCTGAAATAGTCTATAGTCTATTTAGGACGTAAATGCGTGGTTGCGCAGGTGGTGTCGCAGAGAGGGCTTTGGTTTCTTCGACCATGGGACTCTGTTCCGGGCGGAAGGATTGTTAGGAAGAGATGGGATCCACCTAACGAAGAGAGGAAGGAGCATCTTCGCGGGCAGGCTTGCGAACCTAGTGAGGAGGGCTTTAAACTAGGTTCGTCGGGGGACGGTGACCAAAACCCTGAGGGGAGTGGGAAAGTCAGATACCGGGAAGAAATGCATAGAGCAAGGAGCGAGAAAGGAGGACCCCAGTTTCGAATGGAGAAGATAGTGCAATCAACTGGTTACCTGAAGTGTTTGTACACTAATGCGAGAAGCCTGGGCAACAAGCAGGAAGAACTGGAGGCCCTGGCCCAGACCAAGAAATATGATTTAATTGGGATAACAGAGACTTGGTGGGATGACTCGCATGACTGGAGCGCTGTCATGGAAGGGTATAGACTGTTCAGGAACAACAGGCAGGGGAGAAAAGGAGGAGGAGTTGCACTATATGTAAGAGAGCACTATGATTGCTCTGAACTCCAGTATAAAGAGGGAGAAAAACTTGTTGAAAGTCTATGGGTCAGGTTTAAAGGAGCAAACAGCAGTGATGTTGTGGTTGGTATCTGCTACAGGCCACCGAACCAGGTGGATGAGGTAGATGAGGCTTTCTTCGAACAACTGAGCGAAGCTTCCAGATCGCAGGCCCTGGTTCTCATGGGGGACTTTAATCACCCTGACATCTGTTGGGAAACCAATACGGCAGTACACAGGCAATCCAGGAAGTTTTTGGAGAATGTTGGGGATAACTTCTTGGTACAAGTGCTGAAGGATCCGACCAGGGGCCGTGCACAGCTTGACCTTCTCCTCACAAACAGGGAGGAACTAATAGGGGACGTAGAGGTGGGTGACAACCTGGGAAGCAGTGATCATGAGATGGTAGATTTCAGGATCCTGACCAAAGGAAGGAAAGAGAGTAGTAAAATACACACCTTGGACTTCAAAAAAGCAGATTTTGACTCCCTCAGAGATCTGATGGAAAGAATCCCCTGGGATGTTAACATGAAGGGGAAAGGAGTCCAGGACAGCTGGCAGTATTTTAAAGAAGCCTTATTGAAGGCACAGAAAGAAACCATCCCGACACGTAGCAAGAGAGGCAAACCTGGTAGGAGACCGGATTGGCTTACAGGGGAAATCCTTGGTGTACTTAAGCACAAAAAGGAAGCTTACAGAAAGTGGAAACTTGGACAAATGACTAGGGAGGAGCTTAAATGTATAGTTCGAGAATGCCGGGGGGTTATCAGGAAGGCGAAAGCGCAAATGGAGTTGCGACTGGCTAAGGATGTGAAGGATAACAAGAAAGGTTTCTACAGGCATGTCAACAAGAAGAAGGTGATCAGAGAGGGTGTGCAGTCCCTAATGGATGAAGGAGGTAACCTAGTGACAGAGGATGTGGGGAAAGCTGAAGTACTCAATGCTTTCTTTGCCTCTGTATTCACGGACAAGGTCGGCTCCTGGACTTCTGTGCTAAGCGACGCAAGATGGGAAGAAGATGGACAGCCCTTGGTGGGTAAAGAACAGGTTAGGAACTATTTAGAAAAACTAAACGTACACAAATCCATGGGTCCAGACTTAATGCACCCAAGGGTACTGAAGGAGTTGGCAAATGTCATTGAGGAGCCTTTGGCCATTATCTTTGAAAAGTCGTGGAGATCGGGCGAAATCCCGGATGATTGGAAAAAGGCAAATGTAGTGCCCATCTTCAAAAAAGGGAAGAAGGACGATCCAGGGAACTATAGGCCGGTCAGTCTTACCTCGGTTCCTGGAAAAATCATGGAAGGGATCATAAAGGAGTCCATTTTGAGACACTTGAATGAGAGGAAAGTGATCAGGAATAGTCAGCATGGATTCACAAAGGGCAAGTCGTGCTTGACCAATCTGATTAGCTTCTATGATGAGGTAACTGGCTCAGTGGACATGGGAAAGTCAGTGGATGTTATATACCTTGACTTTAGCAAGGCTTTTGATACGGTCTCCCACAATATTCTTGCCAGCAAGTTAAGGGAATGCGGATTGCCATTTTTAAATGTCCGCTAGTTCGGACTCCGTGCCCGTGGCTACATGCGGCACGAACTAGGTAGTTCGGATTAGGCTTCCTATTCCGAACTACCGTTACTGCTCGTTTTGCCGGATCAGGGGAGGTCATTTTTTGACCACTGCTACCTGCCCCGTGGCCCAGCTGCTGGCCTCCCAGCTGCCTCCCCACTTCCTGCTGGCCTTGCTGCCCTGTAGACCTGCTGGGCAGCCATCGCTGCCATGGCTCTGATGGTCAGCCTAGCTCTGGGGCTCTGGGCAACTGCACATGCCAGTTCTCCATGAGCAGCCTTGCACGTGCTGTGCACCAGCACTCCCTGTCCTGCTGGGCAGACACATGTCAGGTCTCCCAACCATGCTGGGCAGCCTCGCTACCACATGGTAGGCAGCCCCACCCTCAGCTCCCTGCGGGCAACCTACTGCCTTGCCAGCCCCACAGGGATCCTTACTGCTGGCCCTCCACCTGGACTCTCTGGTCCTGCAACATCATGCCGAACCATGGATTTTGCTGGACTATAGAATCCTGGTTAAGAGAGTTTCAACCTGTACTTGTAATTTTTGGGTTCTTCACTCTTCTGTCCTGCTGTCCTAGCTGCTTTAACTTCACATTTTCATGGAGGAATATTTTGTTGCTTATTTGTCACAACCTTAAATCATATTTATATATACTTACTAATATTTATTTCATTGGATAATCCTTGGGGAAAAGACCTTTCTTGCCCCTAGCCCAAGCACTTCTAACAAATACTACTGATTCCATACACACACTGATGTACACAGTGTAACTAAGACTGTTCTCAGTAGTGACAGATGGCAGAACAAGGAGCAATGGTCTCAAGTTGTGGTGGGAGAGGGCCAGATTGGATATTAGGAAAAACTATTTTACTAGGAGGGTAGTGAAGCATTGGAATGGGTTACCTAGGGAAGTAGTGGAGTCTCCATCCCTAGAGGTGTTTAAGTCTCGGCTTGACAAAGCCCTGGCCGGGTTGATTTAGATGGGATTGGTCCTGCCTAGAGCGGAGGGCTGGACTTGACGACCTTCTGAGGTCTCTTCCAGTTCTATGATTCTATGATAAGGGGATGGTTGGATGAAATAACATGATCTTGGTAACTAATTGACCATTCATTATAGGGAACTTTCTGGGTGTCTGGCTGGTGAGTCTTGCCCACATGCTCAGGGTTTAGCTGATCGCCATATTTGGGGTCAGGAAGGAATTTTCCTCCAGGGTAGATTGGCAGAGTCCCTGGAGGTTTTTCGCCTTCCTCTGTAGCATTGGGCACAGATCACAGCTGAAGGACTCTCTGCATGTTGGGGCCTTCAAAGTATTTGAAGGCTTCAATATCTGAGACATAGGTGAGAGGATTATTCTAAGAGGGGTGGGCGAGATTCTGTGGCCTGCACTGTGCAGGGGGTCAGACTAGATGATCATAATGGTCCCTTCTGACCTTAAAGTCTATGAGTCTATAATTGCATTAAACAATTTGTCCCTTTGAAATTCTCTGATTTTAAACAGTGACTTTTTTTCTCCTTCCAGAAACACGATCAAGGACAAGTTTTGTTGGATATAGTGTTCAAGCATCTCGATTTGACAGAGAGGGATTACTTTGGTTTACAGCTGGCTGACGATTCCACTGATAACCCAGTAAGTTCTATGTGTTTTCTAAGCTTGTGTGCACGTGCGTGCGTTCGTTCATAGAGTTGAGGGATCCTGTTTCACACAAATTGATTGTTTTGAACTTCTGATCTAAGTCTTATGTCCATGACAGCTGAATTTTTTCAGCAGACTTTTTAAATAAATCTGACATGTGATGCAACTTTTCTTAAGGACCACCTCTAGTCTGTTGTTTAGATATAAAGTTGTCTGAGTTATTCTTACAGGTGGAAGTTTTCACTTGGTATCTCTCACACTGGGAAATAATTTTTCCCCAAACAATTAAATTATGGTTGTACTTATTTTCTCCTCCTAGCTCTGTTTCAAAATGTGAGAATTGGAGTAAACTTTTTTTTGAGTGTTTTAAGAGGCCTATTGAGGTTCTGAGAGAACATTGGCGTTTCTCTGAAGAGATGCCTAAACTAGTTTTTGTGTCTGAAGATTTGTCTTTACTGAGAGATAAGGTCGAATTTATTAAGGTCAGTTTTCTAGCACACCATTTTTTAAAGTCTGAAGGTGCATGTCCCCACTGTGCATAAGAATTCAACATAGTTCGATGTAGTACATCCCCAGAAGGATGGCTTCTGTTGATTTTGAGAGTGATGCATAGAGGTAGCTATCCCACAGTTCCTGCTGCTCCTTTGCATTCAGGACTATGCTAACTGTTCAGCGGGTTGCTCTTGGTACATATCATCAGTATCCTATAGCTCACTCATCTCCTCCCACCCCTCCTGCTTGAAAGCAATGACAGTCTTTTTGCACCCTTTTTCCCTGGGATACCACAAATGTACTCTTCTGTGAAGCACTTGAGTGTCTGGCAAATGCCACCAACATTTGATCCTGTTGACACACAGAACACTGGTTCTGGTGCCGTTAGATAAACACAGATTGGTGGGACTGCATAGTTATGCAGCTATTGGATGATCAGCAGTGGTTGCAAAACTTTGTATGCACAAGGCCACTTTCATAGACGTTTTTGAATTGCTCTTCCCTGCCCTGAAGTGCAGGAATATAGAAAAGGCCCATTCTGACAATTGAGAAGTGAATGGCAATAGTTCTGTGGAAGCTTGCAATGCCAGAGAACTACCAGTCAGTTAGGAATCAATTTGGAGGGGGGAAATCTAAGGTGGGGCACTGTTGTGATCCCCACTGTATAGGCAGAGTGGCCTCCGCAGATCACACCCAATTGTCTTAACCCATTTGTAGCATGATTAAAAAATGTAGTCACCAGAATGCCTTTCCCAACATCAGGCCCCAGCAGTGGGGCATCCTGTCAGGAGGGGATTATCTCCAAAGTTATAAAAAGATTCTGGCTATCGCTGAGATGAGATGCCCTGCTCACCTGCTGACCATTCTCCTCCTCCTCCTCCTCCTCTTTCTCATCCACACTGTCCTCCATGGTGTTTCCTAAGGCTGCCTGAGGAATGTCTTGGGAGGAATCCACAGACTTTCTTGGAAAACTGGTCAGGTCCCCCATAGAATTCCATGAAGCTGCTCATAGAAGTGGCACATATGGGATGATGACCCAGACTGGCCGCTTGCCTCCTTTGTCTTCTGGTATGCCTTAAGGATGTTAAGTAATGGTTAATTTACTAGTCAAGTAGTCGATGGCATTTCCATCGACTAGTCAATAGGCACTTCTGCATTTCTCCTTTGAAATGTACAAGAGCCCTTGCAAAGGAGGAATGCGGAACTGTGTGTGCAGCCTGGGGCCAGTGGGAAGTAATTTCAAAGTGGCAGTGCAATATGGAGCCCAGGGTCAGCAGGGGAATCAGAGTCCCCTGCCAACCCTGAGCTCCATGCTGCGCAGCCGATTTGAAATGCCATGTGGAGCTGGGGTCAGCTAATCCCGGGTTCTGCGGAAATGCCACACTGGAGCCTGGTATCAGCTGGGGAGTCCCCAGCTGACCCTGGGCTCCACACTGGCAGAGCCGCACAG